CATATCTCTATAACTATTCTATATATATATCCCCCATATACATGTATATATATATATATGTATATATATATATATATATATATATATATATATATATATATATATATAAGTGAAGGAACATACAGTTGTACCAGCAACAAGGAAAATCGAACTGCTTAAGCTTCCTGGCAAAATATTAGATACGAGAGTAATCATTAACCATAAGAAACAACACCGATAAACGAATACACCAAAAGAATGCTATCGAAATATCTTTAAACTATTTTAGTGCAGGAAAGGAATCACGTTCTTGTTTAATCAAATTACGTCTCACCTTTTCAACTAAGAAAAGTATTAGTACACATTCACTATATAAACACAACACGAAGAATATTAAGTCGTAACATCAAAATTTGTGATATGAATCAACACTAGTCAACTAGTCAAGCCTCTGGTTTTGGAGACTGTAAAACTATACTCCCACAACACGGACTTTAGTTTTCGTCGATCATCTTAAACCAACATCATTTTCCTAATTTTTCTTTTACATGTCAAACTAAGATCCTTTTTTTTTTTTTAATTATTTTTTTTTATTTAATCAAATTTTCAGCCAACAACAAAAGTTCTGATGAAGCCATATTCCAATCTAGACTTCAAGCAGCACAATTACCTGCATAGTTACAAACTCAAAACTGCAACTGTGCAATGTACTAATTTTCATCTGCCACGTGGCAACAAAAGGAATTCCCACTACCAACATTACAAAAATTTAAACTTCAAAAATAAAATAATCAACAGAAAAAAAAAGCAACTATTGTAATATATACCAGGTTCCCTTTTGAGTGTGGCTTGATTAACGTTTGAAAACAGACTCTCAAATCCACGAACTTGTTCCTCTGCATCAGCTTGTTGTACCGGCTGCTGATTTTCTTGTACATTGGAAGATGGTTCCTTTGACAAGCATTTGACCAGTGCCCTCGAAGGAGAATCAACAAAGATGCCACGACTGAAGGGAAATCTTGTTCGATGAAAATTTGAAGAGGCGGCGATAAGTACTTTCTGGTTCTTGATTTTGCTGATTAGGGTTCTTGGATTACTGTGAAGTGAAGATTTTGGAGTGCGTGCTGGAGAAGATGATGGTGACAAGGAACACACCATCATCGTATGTTTTGAGTTCGTGAATTGTTTGGGTTTTTTTCTTTTTTCTTTTTTTTTTTTTTTTTTTTTGTTCAAGGCAAACATCTTTGAATTTGGTTGATGTGTGGGCCCTTGTGAGTTTTACTTCATTCATTTTTTTCATTTGAATTTGGATAAATTACACACACACACACTATTATGTAATTCTTGATTTTTGTATTTTCGAATATTATTTATTCTCATCAACTTCAAATTAATTTGGCTATTAGTGATTCTAGTACAATAATTAAAGTTCAAAATTTTATGAGCTTTAGATTGTGCTTTATATTTGTTGAATTATGGTTCGGATTGTTGGATTAACACCCAATGCAGTAGATGTAAAAGTGTATGGATTATGCATATGCAGTTGTGCACGTGAGGAACACATGGAGGTTGTTATCTGCATCACGTGAATTAGATGAAAATCAGGTGGCTGACAGATATGTAGAACGCATGGGAACATGTGCCTTGAAGTATTACATATAGAAACCTCGTTCTTGAGCTCCAAGAGAAGCGATGAACATGAGAGAGAGAGAGAGAGAGAGAGAGATGAGATATGAAAATACTTTGAGAGAGAAACCATTTGTGAAGGGTTAGGGTTTTCTGGAAGATCATGACATTAATCTCTATATCGTGTATGTACTGATTCAGTGATTTGTAATCTCTAGATCTAGTAGGTTGTAGTGTATTTCTCCCGAAAATGTAGGGCTCTCATTGAGTTCGAACCTCGTAAAACTTATTGTTCTCTTCATCTTCTAAGATGAGCTTATTGTGTGTTCAATTATGTATCTTTGAGCTTGATTTTTTGAAGTACAACCACGATTATTTCTAGAAATTTATTTATGTAAGAGATTTTTATCTAATTTCTCATCGAATTATACTCTAAAAATTTGAACTTTTTATATAGAAAAAAAATAAAAAAAATTCAGAACTCTAAAAATCATTTAATCATAAACCGGACAAAAAAAGAGCATCAAAATCAGTCAACCAAACCCCAAACCGGTTTGCTTTCATTTGTCCATATCCAATACCAGAGAAAAATAGCACAAATTACTAAATAAATTCGGAAAATTCATAAGCACGTGCTGCAAGACTCATTTTTTAGAAAAAAATTAACTGTATTTACTATTTTAGTGGGCTACTGCGCTGTAATCTACTCTCCAGTCCTCCTCCCCCAATGGCTTCCTCCTCCCATTCCCTCTGCAGTCACCAAACCTACGGTTCTTACAGTGCCAGAAACCACTTCATTTCTTTCAACAAAGGCTTTCTCTCTCTAAATTCTTCGTTTAAGCCACGTGGGCCATCGTCTTTCAACAAAAAGATTCAATCTTCGAGAACCCATTTGATCAGAGCTGCGTCTTCTGATTCAAACAATGCCAGACAAAAAGTAGAGGTATCTTCTTTATTTATTATTAATTTTATTTTATTTTCAAAGTCAATTGTAGGATTAGGGTTTCAGAGCTGAATTTTTGCTCAGGTGATGCTAACTGTCAAATTTTGTTTGTCTTTTAATTTATTGTTTGAAAAAAAAAATTAATCATCAGAATTTATTTATTTAAAAAAAAAATTATTGAATTTTGTGTGTTTATTTAGGTAGTGTATGATCTTGAAGATAAGTTTAGTAAGATTGCAGATGAAGTGGATAGAGATGTAGGGATGACAAGGCTCACTCTCTTTTCTCCCTGCAAGGTAAGGTAATTTAATTTTTAATAAGGCTTCGTTTGGATTGACGGATTTTAAACGAATGGATTTGTAATGATTCCGAATGGGAATGATTTGGAATCCAATGTCAAATGACTCGATCCAAACGACGTCAATTTGATTCGTTTACGATGAATTTGAAATCCCCTCATCATTCTAAAGGGTGTCGTTTTGCGTTGTGCGCAGATTAACGTTTTCTTGAGAATAACTGGCAAACGAGCAGATGGATTTCATGATTTGGCGTCTCTCTTTCATGTAAGTAGCACTTCCCGTTTTGTGTTTTCCAGCTCTTGTTTTATGTGTTTGGTAATTACGAATTGATCGAAAGTTTTGTTTCGATAGTTTCGTAAAATGTCATTACAACTTCTTTTGACTTCATTCAGGTTATCAGTTTAGGAGATAAAATAAAGTTTTCATTGTCCCCATCAAAGTCAACGGATCGTTTGACTACAAATGCTCCTGGAGTTCCCCTCGATGACAAAAATTTGGTAAACTACATACAAGCTCTTTCTTTAGTGCCCTATTGTTTCTTCGTTGGTCGAATACTTATTAGCTTTCGTCTTTGTTTTTGGCAGATAATTAAGGCACTTAATCTGTTCCGGAGAAAGACAGGCACCGACAAATACTTTTGGGTAAATTCAACGACTCTGAAACTATTCGACTTTTTTCATTGCAAATATAACGGACTCAATTGGAGCATGTTTTTTTTTTTTTTCCTTTTTGTATTTAGATTCATCTTGATAAGAAAGTGCCGACAGGAGCTGGCCTTGGCGGCGGTAGCAGCAATGCCGCCACTGCTCTGTGGGCGGCAAATCAGTTTAGTGGCTGTGTTGCTACCGAAAAAGATCTCCAAGATTGGTCGAGTGAAATCGGCTCGGATATTCCCTTCTTTTTCTCTCATGGAGCTGCCTATTGTACGGGTAGGGGTGAGGTATGTCTTCGATTTTTACTAAGTTGGTTTACTATTTTTTCCTAAATTAATACACGTAGACGAGTTTTATGCCATATAGTTTAGCATAGTGGATTAATCAAAACTTATCGGTGGATTTTTACGTTGAATTGAGCAGGTAGTCGAAGATATTCCGCCACCTGTCCCCATCGACACACCTATGGTTCTCATTAAACCGCAAGAGGCATGCTCAACTGCCGAAGTTTACAAGGTACACCTATAGATAGATAAATTGTAGTTGCTTGTGCCTAAAGTTAAAACATTTTATTTAGTTGAGCATCAAAAAGTCGTTTTATGATGTTCTCATTTTCTCAGCGTCTTCGGTTGGATCAAACGAGTCAAATTGATCCTCTGACTTTGCTAGAGAAGATTTCGAATAGCGGAATCTCGCAGGACGTTTGTGTCAACGATCTTGGTATACGCTGTATTTTTTATATTTATATTTATATATGTATAAAACTATATATTTTGTGCTATATGTCATTCGATTTTTTTTTTTCTGTTATTACAGAAGCTCCAGCTTTCGAAGTGCTTCCATCACTTAAAAGATTAAAACAGCGCATAGCTGCTGCAGGTCGAGGCCAATATGATGCAGTTTTCATGTCCGGAAGGTATGTTACAACGATTACACATACTTTTATTCACACACACACACACGCACACACACACACACACACACACACACACACACACATTTATGGATATGGGAAAAACTTATTAAAAAAAATTCCCCGAAATTTTGTAACTAAAAATTGATGTGGTGCAGTGGGAGTACGATTGTGGCGGTAGGTTCTCCGGACCCACCTCAATTTGTGTACGACGACGATGAGTACAAGAATGTGTTCTTATCAGGTAAACATTGTCACTCTCTCTTATCAATTAAACGTATCCATTTCAAATATCGATGCTCATTGAGTTTCAGCCAAGTGGTTTGTTTGATCAAGTTATTATTTTGCAAAATGTAAACTCGAGTTTCTATTTATTTTGTTTTATTGTTCAAATGTTCGTATTATCATTTTAAGTCGTTTATATTTGACAAAGTTGTGTATGTACAATGCAGAAGCGAACTTCATCACCCGGTCGGATAATCAATGGTATGCAGAACCTCATTCACTGCATGAAGGTGCTCTCTCACAAACAGGGTCTTCTCTTTCTTTTCAGTAGGAAAGAACAATAATTGGTTGTGCAAAAATGAAAACATATATGTTGTAATACTTTCATCAGCAGCCGGTTACGAAAACAACACTAGCTTTCGTTAATCGGTAGGAAAAATATAAAGAACCAAATTTTAAGATAAAAAAACGAGCATTATAAACGTCAGCAATTCCAATGCTTTTTTCCACTAAGATTTGGCAATTCACAACATCAACATGGGGAAGAAAGCATCATAATAAGGGAAACCATATCCAAATCATATATCTGGTCTTTTTTTTAATTTCTTTCTTTCTTTATTCTAAAAAAAAAATCGCCTCCCCGTCTCAGAGAGAAGGGGAGGAAACAAACTGTCTGGGTAAACTGAAAAGATCCCTCTCTTCAAAAGCAGAAGTCCATTCCCTCGAACCACCGCCAGTCGGTTCCACACCCACTCCTCCCTCCTGCAACCCTGGAATCGAAACACCACCCCCATTGGACAGAACCGGTCTCATTCCTGACATCAAACCCATCGAACCATAACCAAACGAATCATACGAACGGGCGTTGCTCTGCAAAGAGTAGCTCGAAGCACCACCACCACCCCACAAGCCACTGGGCCTTAACGTCGAACCGCCAGCGTCCAAGCTCCAGTCTATGTTGGTGTAATCGAACTCCAGCATCGAGCTGCCTGTGTTCCAGTCCACCGGAGATGAAGAACCAGAAGAACCCAGCCCGGAGAAAAGCCCAAGTGAAGAAGCCACACAAAGTGGCGGCGATGTACCACCTCTGCTCCACAAACCGCTCCCCCTTATGGTGGTTCCCTGAGAATCCACCACCGAGCTGCTACTACTATTGGGCACAAACTGCTGCTGTGGTTGGTAATGGAATGGGCTGTACATTGGATTTGGATTTGCATTTGGATTTGGATTGATGTTGATGGGGCTAAGGCTTGTAGAGACGGTGACAGGTGGCACCAACACACTGGACTTCATTGAATCCACACTACTAGGGTACCAGCTCATTGCCGCCTGAGGAGGGGGAGGAGGAGGCGGAGATGGGCTAACACTTGAGCTAGGATTAGCAACTTGCTTCGCGTTAATGGATTGAGGCCGCTGCATAACAGTGACTGGTTCTCTCACTGATCCGAGCTGCAAGTTCTTCAATTCATTTCCAACAGACAGAAAACGAGTGGCTGGGGGATGCGAAGAAGAAACCTGCACAGGTGGTGCTAATGAAGAAGAAACGGGCGGGTAAGATGCTGAACTTGGCCCCCTTTTATCTGCAAGCACAGTGCTCTGCTGCGGTTTGGACGGTACTTTCTTCAATGGCTGAATATTTTTTGTCCCAAGATCCACAGAAGGCCCTACTGTTACCGGAACTTTGGTATAATTGAAATCCCTTTCATCCCTTTTCGGTTGTATAATAGCAGATGGGGTGGCTTTTGTTTGCACCCTCGTTGCATTCTGAATTATGGCCATTGGTTGCTTTCCATTGGCTGCATTCGGAGGATCGCCAGTTTCTTCCAGCTTGGGAGGCTCTTGCTTCTGCGACTTCAACGTTTCTTCAGCCTGCTCGAGATCGCCCTCACAGGAAACTATAGCTCTTTCAACCTCCTGCTTGGAGGCCTTGTACCTTATTTCCATGTCTGTAATCCGCAAAAGCTCTTCTGATATGTCGATTTTTAGATTTCCACCACCTTCAAGATTACGTTCGATGCGCTTGTCTTCTTCATTTCCTTCAAAAAGCCAGGCTACTGATTGTTCTACTCGGCCTTCGTTCAGCATAAGTGCCATTGTCGCCCGTTCTTGGGTGAAACCCATGGCCACTAGTTGTTGAGAAAGTGCTTCTAGCTTTCTCGACATGAGATAGCCTCTGCATCGCTCATGAAGTTCTTGAGCTCGCCTCTCCTTTTGCCGCTGGTGTTTTCTCTCATTCTTCTGGCGTACTTTTTCTCTCTTGTCATTGTCAGCTCCTGGCACGGATTCCTGGCGAGATGGGGGTTGAGATGTTTTTTCTTTGAGGTCTTCCGACTCGCCAGACCAGCTGCCATTATTGGAAACAGAATCACACTCGATTCCGTTGTGATCATCTGTATCATCTATTTTACCGAAACGACCATTCGCAAGCAGCGGACTGGCGGAAGGAACTGGTGCCGGCTCTAATGTATGGAATGTTCCGAGAAAAGGATTATATCCACTTGCAGGGATCCCTCCGCTGGTATTAGTATGACCTGAAGGCTTTGAAGAACCCTTCTGAGGTTCCTTCCCAGCCTTTTTGTCTTTCGATTTCGATCTGGAAAAAGACATGGCCTCAACTTCAAGTCTGATTTCTGTAACACTGAAGGACAAAAACTCCATTAGCAATCAATACAACTAACTCAACCGAATAAGTGTAGATGTACTGAGGGTATTTTTCTTGTGTTCCCACTAATGACATGGTTCTGCACTACAGTTAGAGAGAAGAAAAAACAATACAAATCACCAAGTTTAAAACTACAAATGAGGTACAACTGGAACAGCTACAAAGGAAACAGAAAAAGTATCAAAGAAGCTCAAGAGCAGAGACCAAAAGCTGAATAAGTACCAGGAAATGAATAGAGAGACACCTGCTGTGCATGGGTCCAATTCTAGAATTATAACCATTGTGGAAACTGGGGATATGATGATAAAAAAAACGAAACCGATATGGAATAATAAGTTTTTCCTCAAATACTCTGTTATAGAAGAAGTATACCAATCTACATTTTTCGTCATTACAAATGAAAAGTTTCAGCAGTGAGATTATAGGTAAACCAGAAGCTAGAAGTGCCATTGAAACCAAACTTTCGTGATATGTTTTCATAATGAACCAAAATTACTTGTCATGGAACGGGAACTTGTCATGAATAGACACCAAAGGAAATAAAAAACTCGATAAAAGAACTTGACGTAAGTAATACATTAGATGCCAGATGGTCTTCCTATTACGAAACCTACATGTTTTGTAAGTGTATCATGCATGCAAACAAAGTCGTTTAAGTAGTGACGATACATAAAACAAGGAGAAGTGAAATCTAGTTAACAATTTTATTCAAAGATGACACGTAGAAAGAAGAAGAACACAGCTAATCATGTGGGCCATCACACTCGGGTGAAAGCAGTAAAGGGTCCCAGCATCTAATTATGCTTTATATGTAGATTACGCAAAAAGTCCAAGAATCTACTAACCATTTATCGTACATGTATACAAAACGAAAAATCCACGTAAGCACAACACGACATAAACGCCAATTAAGGTGGGATGGAACACAAAAAAAGTATGCATAAATTTCAATAACTACAAAGATAAAGATAGCAACTAAATACAGCATTTCCTTAATAACTAATACCAAAACAACCATCCAAAGGAAAAACAGGATAAAGATACTTCGATTGAACAGCTCAAATTTCTCTGTCTATTTATCAGCTTATCCTGCAAGTTTCTTTACTTTCTGTGTACTAATTGTCGGCAATTCCAACGTCTCGTATCCTCTGTGATAAATCCATGGACGAAAGATACATTCCTTTCGACTAATAAACACACGAATGTAAGATCTAGTCCTCTAAATTTCCAACTGTATATTCATTTCAGACTTTATATATACTAGACATATCAACCAGAGCTAGTAGACTCATTTAATTAATTGCATTAGGTCCATTCTCCTTTTAAATGGTCACGTATCATAGTAATTCCAATGTTTATAATTTCCGTATCTTAATAATTACTCTTACTACGTCATAATAATTTAAAAACTACCGCTGAAACTCAACTTCGCGCCAAAATTCACATACCTAAAAAGCTTTTGCCCGCGCACTGCTTTCTCTTCGACATCCACATTTACCCATTCTTCTTCATCTTAGTTAAATTATTTAAACATAAAAAAACATATAAAGATGCTTACACAAAAAAAAAAAAATCATTTCCATGCCTATGTATCAAACAAAAAATAAAAGGAATCATGGAAATGCTAGATATTCAATTCAATCCAGGGTTCTCGAAGATATTTCCGCCAACAGAAAATTTGGAAGGAAAATTGAAAGTTCATCCACAGGCAAAAACAACGGCAAACATAACTAAAACCAACAAATAAATGCATGTAAAAAATCACCGTAAAATGACGCAATCACAATTTGAGACACATCAAATCTACACCCACCCACCCCAATCCATGTAATAACAAACCCTAGGCAACATGCAGATCAGCCAATCAACAGACTTGCTGCATCGATTAATGACGAATAGCTAACCAGCTGATCAATCCCCAAGCAAATGAACAAAATTGAACACCCCCACCCAATTCCATGAGCTCGAATTCGTAGGACGAACAATGAAAAATCAAATTCAAAAAATAAAAATTAATAAAAACATGTCAAGCCACTCCCAACCCTAGCCACCGGCGATCGATCACCAAAAAAAAACATAGATACACACACACATACAAAAGACGTGGCGGAGCGTCACCTGTAACGGATCGATTGATGGAGACAGAGGACGCTGTCAATTTTTGCTCGTTGTTGTTCAAGGATGGAGGATTGGATTTTGTTTAGAGAGAGAATTCGCGAGAGAGAGAAAATGTTAGAGAGAGAAAGTACAGTTGCAAAAACATACATATAAAGAGAGAGAGAGGAGTGAGATGGCTAAACGCGGGGCTGAAAAGTGAAAATGTAAATGAATCGACCCGAGATTAGGGTTTTTTTGTCTTTTTTTTTCCCTTTTTTTTCATCTGTTCGATTTTTTAATTATTTTATTTTTTATTTTTGTAATATTATTGTAACATTACAATAATACTTTGCTATTACCGTATTACGTATTATTGCACATATTATCGTAAAAAATATAATATTAGAGAAAATATATTATTTTTTACCTAATTATTTAGTTTCTAAATGCGGTAGATTTTATATCATTATCTAAATTAAATGATGGAGATCTGGACATGTATGCATTGGATTTGCATGATTTGTTTTTTCATTACTCAATGTTTACTTTCGTACAACTCACGATTGTAAAACTATGTTCGATATTTGAAACACCTCTTATCGATGAGAATCAACAGAATATTTTTTAATTAAAATACAATTTGTAGAAGAGAGCTGGGAATGACGATATGTTAGTTTGACGTTACAACATAAATGGAGGATTCTCGATATGTGATATACTATTTTGAATATCGCAACGAGAAATGAATGTAAACACATCATCGAACAACTCTTTAGGCAACGGTTTAGGAACTGACTAATGGGCATTTTAAAACCTTCGTACTAGGGAAAACTTACAAAAACGATTTTTTTTGTCGGCTTGTACGATCGTACAACTTAACTTGTACGACAAATCGTGAAGATTTACCTCATTGCTTAGCCATTTGCTCAGTGTGTTTTGCTTCAAATAAAGTTTATTAACACAAATGTTGAAATTATTTTTCCACTTAAAAGAAAACGCACAGTTAAGGAAACACTAATTAGTAATTTCCATCGATCTCGTATTCCCATTCAGTTCAGATTTTCACTATTTTCAGAACTTATTGTTGAACTGGAGGTGAATGTCGGGTACAACGGAATATAATCATATTTGATATAGTTATAGTAGCAAAATAAATTAGAAATTCTACAAAAATTAAAATCGGATTGAAAATAAAAAACTCAAAAGTTCCACATATAAGTCCAAATTCAATCCAAAATATTCGTTAAAACATCCAAAACCGAAATTTCACAAATGAAAATAAGAATTTCCAAAATCGAAAAGTTTCAAATTAGAATCACCGGAAATTGAAAATCCAGTTCCAATTTTAACCATGATATATCTTTTGTGAGTTTCACCGCTAGGTTTGACCGTTGACCAAGTCGTGGATTTATACTGGCCAATTAGGATAAGAATCTTCCAGCGTGTTCCCCAGTGTGACGTTTCTCGTGTTCCCCTCACGTGGCAAACTATCATTGGGTGCGTCAAAGCACCATCACTTTATCACCACGTGGCAGGTGTGTAGTGGTTAAAAGTAAAAAAATAAAAAAATTACAAAAAAACCCTAAAAATACAAAAAGGGAAAGAGTAGAAAAGTAAAAGGCTGGTATGAAGGGAGTGGGAGGGTCCGAGAAAGTCAGAATCCGACAAATATTTTTATTTCTTTCTTTTTAATATTTTATTATTTTTATATATATTTTTAGTTTTAATTAAAATATTAAATACTAATATTTTTATTTACATTAATAACATTGTGGGAAGGCGTAAACAATTTCGAATTTTTTTGCGGGCAACTGGTGGCGTTTCTGGCTGGGTTACCTTCTTCAAACCTATACATATATATATATATTTTTTATTTATTTATAGGTGTGTGTATTTGTGTATTTGTGTGTGTATATTTGTATGTATAGGCTAGGGTTTGAGATTTGAAGTCTCTCTGCAAGGTTGGCGCCATGAGAAAGAAGCTCGACACTCGCTTTCCAGCCGTAAGCACTCTTCTCTCTCTCTCTCTCTCTCTCTCTCTCTCTCTCTCTCTCTCTCTCTCTCTCTCTCTCTGTGTTTGAAGTATGATTTTTTTTAAATGTTTTATTTAAAGGTTAGATTGTTGTGGAAAGAACTTTTAGACAGCTATCTGTATAAACCTTATGTAATAAGTTTGTTTTGAGGAAGGAAGGCTGATTTATGTGTTTGCTTAAGCACAAATTGATTTGTTAAGCTCATAAAACTCCTGGCCATGTGTTTAATTGCTGCAACAAGCTAATCAATTTCCGGCTTTAAATGTTTTCCGGAAAATCGACACTTTCTATCGGTCACGATTTTAGCCGTCGGAATTCAAACGAAACGGGAGTTTTACTCGGTGTTAACTTTAAATGATTGTATCCTTGTTCTGTTATACGATTGATTTTTTTTTTTTACGTTTTGTAGGCTCGAATTAAAAGGATTATGCAAGCCGACGAGGAAGTGGGAAAGATTGCTATGGCTGTACCCCTTTTAATGTGTATGTATTTAGCAAGTGGTTATCCTATTGTTTTTCCGTATTTCGAAAATGCTGAAGATTCAACTGTTTGGAACTCGTCTCTCACTTATTTTGTGTAATTATATCTATATGTATATGCAGCTAAAGCTCTCGAATTATTTCTGCAAGATCTATGTGGCCAGACGTACGAGGTTACCCTTGAACGGGGAGCGAAAACTTTAAATTCTTTGCATCTGTACGTTTTTTCTTCCGGGACAATGTTCTCCCTACCCTTTCTGATTTGGTTTGATTTGTTTTTTTTTTTCCTTCATATATTTACGCATGAATTTGCTGTTGTTGTTTCATTGTGTACCGCGTTCACTTGCAGGAAGCAATGTGTACGGAGGTGCGGCGCGTTCGATTTCTTGAAGCATGTCGTTAGTAAGGTTCCTGATTTGGGTGGTTCGGATGCTGCTACAGAGGATAAATCCGCTACCAAAAGAAGGTTTGGCAAGATATAATAAAGCTCTATTCTTACTCGAAATAAATTGAAAACAGCAAGTTAACTGTAAATGATCTGTTGAATGCAGGAAGATCTCAGAAGATGAAGATGGCAACTGCGACGAGTCTAAAAGAATTCGCATCGTAAGATAATCTACAACTTCTTAACTGGACCATGTATTTTTTCCCCGTTTTTATGAGCATGAATACCTTTTGAAGCAAAAAATAGTAGTTCAGAGAGCTTTTAACTAGGACGCGTCTTATTGTGAACATATTTATTAGCACTTGGTCGTCGTCTTTCAGTTACAATTTAAAACTACTCACGGATGTTTTCTTCACTGCAGCAGGAGACACACAGCACCACCACTAATAGGAGGGGCAGGGGTGGACGAACGGGTAGAGGCAGGGGAGTAGGAAGGGGCCGCGGTCGTGGTCGTGGTAGAGGCAGTAGAACACCGGAGGGCGAATCGGTCATTCATCACGAGAAATACGAAGAAGATGTCGACAGCCCACACCGGAACGACGAGAATCAGAAAGAAGCTGTTGCTGCGGGTGATGCAGATTCAAGAACCGTAAGTGGAAGCGAGGAAGATAAACCGGTTCGAGATTTTGACCTCAATGTTGACCTGAACGAGAACGGGTGTCCCACATTGACATTAGCAGATGCTCGTTCCGAACTTCCGAAGAAGAAGAAGAAGCCAGTAGCTACAGAAGTGAAGCATGAAGATATTCCTGGTTGGTCCATGGATGACATGAAAAGGATGGGTATTGATCCCGTTCAATTTGCTAATTCAAATGGATGGATGGATGAGGAAGACGAAGATTATGACGAAGAAGAAGAATAGTATGTACAGTGCAATCTTGCTCTTTGCTTTATCAATTTATATTAACACTGTGTAGGTAGTTAACTCGTACGGTTATCTTAGATTAGACGGCAGGTGATTAGGGACTGTAGGGATGACAAATTAGGATAGAAACAACGTAGCTGGAGCTGAATTTGAAAGTCTCCGTGTCCAAACATGTAGGATTTCGGTTGATGTACAAATTTGTATAGCCGACTAAAAACAGCAACTTTTGGAATCTAGTTTACAAGGAATGGAGTCGAGTTTTTGCATATCGTGCATCTGTTTTTAGCTAGGATTTTACCGTTGTATCTCCTATATGTTACACCTAATGAAGAATTCGGGAAGTTTTCCATCTTTGATTTACACACGTATTACACATGCGTGTGTGAACGCGAGCACCCTTTAATGTAATATAGTGTTAGAACCAGGGTATAGCAATAATGATCAAGGCTAGATTATGAATCTTTGTGTGCGTGCGCGCGATTCTTGGCTCAAGATATAGGTGAAATCGTGCGTATTTCATAGTTGAAATAAAAAACTCGTGCAAGAAATATCGTGCAAACAGAGTGCTATCTTCACAATTCATAAAACACAAGATCATCTGCGTAAAAGGCAATAACTAGCAAAGAAGAAGCAACCGCCATATATATATATATATATATATATATATATATATATATATATAACATTAAACACCATTCCCATCAGTAAGCAGTACATATTACAATTACTACCCTTGATACTACACCACACTATATCAAGTTAGAGAAATATAACCTTAATTGCCGAAATCAGATAAGCTAACATTATTGAACTCGAGAGGGAGCAAGAATCATCATCGAGGAAGAGAGGTAGGTATCCCCCTCAACTACGATCAACGTGCCTCAAAAGTTCCGAGTTATTTATTTAAATACCGCCATAATCTGATCGGAAATAAGCCAAATTCAAGCATCACCGACGTGCTTGAACTCCTGCACTTCCTTGAAGTTCATCCATGGCTTCACCCAAACCTTGGCCTCGTACACTTTGTGGTGCTCCCCGTCGGCTGCCTCAAGCGTTATGTGGTACATGGTACCGGCAACTACTTGCTCCTTCACGTTGGTTACCTTCTTGAATTGCAAGAGCGCGTTCTGATAAACCATCAACACCCCAATACTATTAGGCAAATTTGCATATCCAAGTAAAACCCCCAAATTATGCACAATGAAATTCAATTTTTCGCTTATTTAAAACACAACGAATGCACAGATTTTGCAGAGAAGTTTCACTATTCTGGAACAATAAGCAACAATGTCGAAGTAAGAACGTAAATTACGTGTAGTCAAATTCACTTTTTTGCTGATTCATACAACAAAAGATGCATAAAACTTCAAAAAAATTCCAAATTCTGTAATAATGGCAACAAGCAGCGTTTTTATTTGCTGTACATCGCATTGAAAAATCAACGATAAGCTAAATAAAAAATTTAGGCAAATTTCAGATCCAAGTAGTAAATACCTAAACTATGGACGATCAAATTTCTATTCACTCCTTTCTAATTATTTACAAATCCATAAAACTAAACCAAATCCAAAGTTTCGGATCCACAAAAGCAAGACATTGATAGTAATTCAATACGTAACAGAAAGAAGAAAAAAAATGAATAATTACTCCGACGATCAACAAAATAATGAGAAAAAAAAAAAAAAAAAAAACCTGTTTGGTGTTGTGATCATCGACGGCAAATTTAGCGAGATCGTGAATTTCGAGAGAGTTCTGAGATCCTTCGGTCTGGCGGATAGCTCCCGTTGCCATTTTCGTAAATAGAATTATTATGCAAATAAAAATGTGACTGTGTAATGAATAATAGTAGCAGGGTGGTATGGGGACTAGTATTTATAGGCGCGGAAGTGGTGGTGGTGACTGGTGAGTGGTGGGGGCCGGGGGGCTGGGTAGGGGTAAAAATGGAAGAATCGCAAATTCGTATCCTATAAAGTTATCCAAAACGCGGACAAGGAAAATTGACGAGTGATGGGTACCCTTTTGTTTTTTTATTAACTTAGCTAAGAAGCGACAAAGTTTGTACCGACTTCTTTTTTTTTCAAATAAAATAATAATAAAATTAAAAAATCAATTAGCTAAGGGTGGATATTTGTGGGAAATGATTTCAAATCTATAATAACAAATCGAGCAAGTTTGTTAGCATCGAGTTTTCTGACAGTTGTTTTTTGAGGGATTATGGTAAAATAATCCCCGATTGGATTCATTTCGAATACATTCGTTTCTAACGTACGAATACAGCCTAAGAGCTCGTGGACCCTAATTTTATGAGAAATAAGACCGCCTTTTTAAAGATTTCGAATAAAATCTCTAGCACGTCGCTTTGACAAAACTACCCTCGTATTTTACCAAGTTAAAGCTCCATCACTCTAGCAACATTGCTTCCGTTTGTAATTCGGGAATGGCAAGAATTACTAAGTAAAATATACAGTTCAATTCTGAGACCTATGTTTCACATAGTAGAGTTGAGAATTAGCACAAGGGCACAAACAAACATCTCTCTAAGCAGAATGGCAAACAAAATTGTTGCTGACCGACTTTTACCCTCCGAGATCGAAGCTCCCAACAACTTTTAAGATGAGTATTGCAAGAAAACGAATTATTATTATTACTATTGCTTTTCTTTCTTCGCCAATGATTCTCCCTTGTACTCGCTGCCAGCAGTCACCACAAAACTTGCTCCAACCTTGAATCAAAGGCGAACACAAATCTATGTTAGGATTTCGTTTAAATAATAAAATATGAGACGTGGGGCCCACACAAAGCGAGTACCTGGCAGTCCTTTAATACGGCACGCTCTTGGAGCTGTACATTACTGCAGATAATGGAACCTTGGATCGAACAACCATCCCCAATACTCACATGGTTCATTACAACTGAATTCACAATCTGCACCACAACACGCACGCGCACACGTAGGGTAAACGTTTGAGGTAACCGAAATTAATTTCACGATTTGTTACAAGTTTGTGAAATTTTTCCAGCATGAATCTGTTGTTTGTTTCTACTTACCTTAACATTTGAACCTATTCGACAATGACGGCCAATGACAGACTTCTTCACACTGCATTTGTCGCCCATTTGCGAACCTTCTCCAACCATGCAGTGTGGCCCCACCTAAATCGTAATTATTTACATATTAGATTATAACATAAAATATTTTTCCAACATTCATCTGAGATCATTCGTCAATGTCCACATAAGCAGAGTCATATCATGCAGTGTAAATGAAATTTGTAAAGCAAGATCAAGTGCATGAGTTACATGTAACTCACCGTTGTCTTAGATCCAAGTACAGCTGATGGATGAATTATGTTGTTATGGTTCGAGAAATTATAGCCTGAAATGTGACTTGCATCTCCTACTATCTGAACCAATATATCACGTATTACAATTATAAAAAATATTTTTATTTCAAGGGTAAAAGAAACCAAGTGTCGAGGACTGTGAGAACTTACATCTCGATTTATGTCACTGAATGCTTGGATGGAATTTAATCGCGCACAATACTTGCTCTTATTAGCAATATAAACACAACATTTATGAGTTTTCCTTGAAATAGGAGCAGACTCGGCCGAATCCAGTGCGTACATTTCATGAAAACTTGGTGTGGATGCATTAGCAAGAAGTTGAGATAGCAAAACTTTACTGTTCTGAACAGCGTCCATACCACTGCCATTTTCATCTGACTGAGCTCCATTTAGAAATAATTCAGATCTCTGATATGTTGCCATGAAAATACAATTAAGATTTTGAAATATATTCCCGATTTACTATCACCAATAGAAAAATAAAAATAATGACGCTACGGGAACTGACCAGCTGGGTCCTGACAAGATAAGGCAATACGTCACGCCTCAAACTTTGAAAATTTTCTTTCTGATTCAGGACCTCTTGCAAAACAGACCTGTGATTCGAGTGAATGTTTAAAACAGATTGATTTGCAATGAAAAACGCAATAATTTCCTTGGACCATAGAGAAAAACCTCGAACCTCTTGAATGCATACATATGAGCATCCATTAGATCAGCACGGATTTCCATCTGCATAAGCAAAGAAGAGAGGAAGAGAGAACGAACAAAAACAAGTTTTAGTAAGAACAAACTAAAACCATAACAAATCCTTTGTTGCTAATTATTTTATGCAATGATCTCTATGAATAAAGTATCTGAAGTGGACCTTGCCACTCGGATCTGATTCCGAAATTCAAAAGCTAAGGCCATCTCCAATTGACCGGCGGGGTGGGGGGAGGAATGTCCTGGGGTTCTAACGTAAAATTGTTTTAAAAAAAATTAACTCCAAATGAAATTTTTTGTTTTAGATTTAGCTTATGATTTATAAGCATATTATATCAAATTAAATCTTTAAAGTTATTAACTTTACTTTAATTTTGAAAATTTAAAATTTGTCTACAATCGTAAGAAGATTAGACAAATCGTATGAATACATTTTTGTTAAATTTTAATATAATTGATATTACCTATAATATAAATTAACAAATCCAGAAAAGCCAATCGTAGATGACTATTTCGTAAATTCATATAATTATTATTGATTATTTTGGTTTGTTTTCAGATCTAGCTAACCCTGAACATTCTGCATCACAATAACCCCTGAATTTCCATGTCAAACAAAGAAACTGGTGTATAAAGAGTAAACTTATATAAACACTTTGCCAAGCCCTAACCTCGTTCATGCAAGTTCAAAGAACAACAACATGTGAAATAATTACCTGGCCAGCAGCTCGAAGAATGCTCTTCTGCACACGAATATCTTTGTCCATCTCAGCTCCTATCACAAGTTTCAGAGATTATCAAAATTGAAATTCCACATAAAATTAAAAACTTATATACAAACATCTTACCAGCTGCTATGTGCAGTAAAAATTGCTTAGTTGGATCCAGGCCTACAATATTATAGCGTCCTGCTTTCTTGGTTTTGTCCTTAGCACCAGATGAGCCTGATTCTGATGGCCCACTGACAGGAACAGAGCAAAGCATTGCAGTAACTGCAGCATCATGTCGTCTATGAGCAGCTGCCACTGCCCCTGGTGGAATTTCACTAACCAGATCACCACTCAGAACCTGCATAATGACACAAGTCACATCTGCTACAGCACATCGGTAAGAAATTCAATGTCACGAAGAGAAGAGCTCAAACCAAAATGTCCTTTGCAGTCAACCGGTGATCAATAGCTCTAAGAGCACCAGCGGTCCCAACATCCTCAGGAACTGCTGTTACCTGTAGCAGTAAGATATCAAGAATTTATTGAAGCTAAAGAAGAAGTTGAGAGCTTAGACCTCATTTGGTTGGGGAGATTAGGCATGATTAACTAAATAATTGGACTTGTTTGATGTTAGGTAAACCCAATAACTTCTAGGGTCGACCCGGAAATATTATGTTATCATGCCTTTTAGGGAACTTTTTTATTGGACCTTTCGGGGTCCAATAAAACAATTGGGTTTTCATTAAATTATTTCATCTTATCTTGGTAACCAAACGAGGCCTTGGGATTCAAGATAATGATTTGGGGTCTATCATAAGATAAAGCACATGTCTGGACTTATTTAAGCCATGTAAACCCTTTAATGTACCATAGACAGAAACACGGTCATTGACAAGATCAGTGGTTATAAAAGTCCGACTCTAGAGGTGTGCTTAATGTTTTAACAAGATTTAAATCATTCTAGCATTTTCAAAATAGAAAATCCACCAAGTAAATTTAAATACAGCGGTTAGATTCTTCAAAATCAACAATTTCATAATCTTGACCACTCCATATTATTAGGAGAATCAACACTAGGAATAATTACTTATTACTTTTGAGAACCAGCCTCACGATCACAGCATTTATAGAAGTTCAATTTCACAAGTAATGACTAGAAATGCAACTTTTAGTATTCATTCAGATTGCAGCCTAAATCCTAATGGGCAGTTAGCGTGTTGTGACATGTTGTCCATCCCCTTACCGGATGGAACCATAAGGGCCATGTGGGGTTTAAGGCATATATCCTTGCACATCCAAGTTCAGGATTCCCTTATGCCCCAAAATTCATCACTTTTTACAGTCCCGGGCATTTTTTTCCCCAATTTGCGGCAGCTAACTTCAACTTGATAATTTTAAGAATCCTTTTAAGAAAATAACCCCCCCTTCCTATACTGGGATCAAGAAATATTTGCTCACTAAGGCATTTCCGGGATCCAATAGATAAGTTTTGAAAATGGAAGGAATTTTCTTCATGGGTGGATGGCATACCCAAACCCCCCCCCCCCCCCCCCCCCTCTTCAGCTATTTACACAAATTAATCCAACAAAAATATACCAATCCTTCACAATATAATGAACAGGAAAAAGCCGTGGTAACAGATATAAAATCAATCAATCAATCGAAATTGTACCTCAACTTGCAGTCGATCGACAAACGTGCTCGAAATCCAGGAGCTGATCAAAAGAGCCGCGGATTCCCCTTCAACAACCTTTACCAATTTACGGTGAAGTTAAAAAAAATACATTTCAATTTCCTCTACTCAAACACAGTAAAAAACTCGATCAATAATAAAAGAAACAGAGACTCAGGGGGAAGGGCATTTGTGAGGTCGTTTTGCTCGAGAAGCTCCAAAACATAAGAAAGCACTGGCCTGTTCGCCACTGGCAGAAGCACTTTGGGCACCTCCTGCGTTGTACACATATGTATTAAAAAATAATTTCCATAGATGAAACAAAAAAACAAAAAAATGGAAGTATTTGCTCCCAATCATGATTTTGAATGAACCAGAAAAATCGAAAAGAAAACGAGCGAAGACCTTGGAAACGAGAGGGACGAGCGTTTTGGAAAACCCGCCTGCTAATACAACTACTTGGAAGTCCATCGATTCTCACAAACAGTAAGATTGTGTGTGTGATTTCACAGAGAAATGAATACCTAAAACCTCCAATAGAGATGGTGGGATTTTGTTCTTCACAAAAACCCAATTTTGATTCTGTCCTGTTAGAAATGGTTGGGAAAATTACATAATTAATTAATATTATTAGTTGAACAAATGGGGATGTAGCTCAAATGGTAGAGCGCTCGCTTTGCATGCGAGAGGCACGGGGTTCGATCCCCCGCATCTCCAATATTTTAACGTTTTATGTTTTTTTGGGCTTTGACTTATGGGTGGCCCTGCACTTATAATTATAAGTTTTGGGCCCTAAAATGTAATATTTCCCATATTACCCTTTTCCACTTTAATAATCTATTAATATTTTCTTCCTTTGTGGGTCCCTTGATAATAATGCTAAGTGCTAACTAACAATGATTATTTAATTGAAAAAAAATGGACTTCCTTTTTATCATAATCTTTAATTTCAAAAGAAATCATGCAACTATGCTTGTTCTTGGATCTTATTATGAAGAAATAGTGATTAAATGGTTATATAGGAAAAATAATAATAATAATAATAATAAAGAATATATCTTATCTTATATATTCTATTCTGTAATTAAATATTTTTAATATTTTTTTCTCTACTAATTTTTAATTATAATTTTAATAATTACAAAATTGAAACTAAATCCTGAAAAATCCTATCTAATAGTGCTTTTGTAATTATTTATTTTTAATATTTTTTGTCAACTAATTTTTTAACTATAATTTTCAACAATTATCAATCTCCTATTTTTCATCAATATATCTCAAATCTTAAGAGATAAAGATAGAAATTCGATTAGTTAAATTTTAATCTGTATATTTGGATTATAATTCTTAACATATCAGTTAAAAAAAAAAACTAATGTTATATAATATATGAATAATACTAGATTATTAAATTTTACTATGTTAGTATACTATATTTTCTTATTATGTATTAAACTAGTAATTCACCCGTGCGATGCACGGGATCAATTTTACAGAAAAATTTATCGAAAACTTTGAACAATTGAAAAGAAAGAAATTGATTAAGAAAATTTATCGAAAACTTTGAATAATTGATATATAATACAATATAAATAAAAAAACACACAAAAAAACAATTTCCATTATATAAACAAAATGTCCCGCGTGGGTATAACTCAACTGGTTCTTATATGGTAAGTTGGTGCAAGGTCTTCGAATCGAATCATAACAACCGCAGTGTAGGAATCTCAATTCCAATGAGGGTTGGTTTCTTGTGGGACCAGTTCCAAGCCGGCTACCCTATCGGGCCGTTGAGTCTCCATGAATTTGCATTCTTCCACCAAATACTTGTCGGACCAAGAGATGGAGACCCTGTGGGCTAGATATTTCGTCTTTTGGTGCAAATAAAATAAATGATAATAAAATAAAATAAGAAAATTGTGACATAAAAAATAAGATAAATCATTTGACTTAGAATGTTACAACTATCTTTTTCAATTCACTCGAATCTTAAAATAAAAGTGGTGTTTTATAGAACATGCATTGACATCATCTATAACACATAATACCTTGAGAGTAAACATTACACATTTTTTATTGTTCATATGCAATCATAGATACACATTACAAAAACATAAATTATCTAAAATTGTAAAGGAAGACAATACAATTTGTACTGAAATACCTTGGATAAACAAAAACTTCATTGAAGTCGCTAGTAAAATTAGCATAAAGAGCGAACAAAATGTAAATATTGCAAACTAAATATACACAAAAAAAAAAAAACAAATGTGTATCAAAATACACAATTTTTTGTATTTACCTTCATATTCGCTGAATTTCTTTCGTGCACACAACATTGCTAGTAATATTAGTTATATCGATCGATTCTGAGTTGATAAACATATTTATTTCATATTTACTTTTAACTCTCAATTTGCGGCATATAATTGACTATTTCACCCTAATATTAACACTAATACGACACTAATA